AAAAAAAAAAAATTAGGAATGACTGCTTTTCAACTATAAAAACTGCATCTCATGATATCCTCTGCTCTTTTGCTCACAAGACACCCTGTTCCTGATTACATATCAAAATAGTCATCATGGTTTGCCAGAAATCTATAATGATGTTGTATCATTTGAAAAGTGTCTCAATATGTTTTTACAGCTTTAGAAAATTTCTTCTGCCTGCTCAACTTACAGTTGCCATTCTGCAGGCATCCATTTGGCCACCTCTTAGACGCCATGCCATTTATTTATTTTTTGTTAAGTCTCACCAAGCAGAGTTATACTAAGAAGTATTTTAAGATATTGAACAAATGAAGTATAATTTTGTGGCATTTTTGTCTCTGTTTTAGAAGAATAAAACTCTTACCTCTGTATATATGACCTTTGAATTAACCTTTAAACCCCTGTTTTCATATGTCTTTATAAATTGTGTGGCAACCGTTTTCACAGATGGCCTCCCAGTGAACTGTGCCTTCCAATGTTCACACCCTTTTACATCATCCTCCTCTTGAGTCTGGGCCGGCTCTGTGACTCGCTTTTCACAAGACTCTGGAGGAGGTGATGCTGAGTGATTTCTAAGGCTAGATTCTAAGTTTTGCAGCTTCCACCTGGGCCTCTGAAATACTTGGCACACTCCCTCCAGGAACTCAGGTGCCATCTTGAAAAAAGCCTAAGTCACATGGAGAGGCCACAGGTAGCTGGTCTGGATGACAACCTCAGCTGAGTCCTCAGCCAACAGCCAGCATTCACTGCTATTGGGCATCCTGAATGTCCAGCACAGTTAAGTCTTCAGATGCCTCAAGCCCCAGCTGTGTGACCCCACAAGAAATCCCAAGTGAGGATATCTCAGGTGAGCTCATTCAATCCCATAGAACCATGAAAGTCATAGCAAATTGCCGTGTTATGCTTTAGAGCTTAGGGTGGTTTGTTACACATCTACAGACAACTGGAATGCATTGATTAAAAATACAATGCTAGGGCCTTTAGCATGTTTTAGCTAAAATTTAATAAAGAATTTCATCAAAATTAACAGAAGTGCTGTATAAAAATGTCAAGTTATAGAAGAATAGAGTGAATTGTAGCAGATCCTAAGGCATTCAAGGGCTTTTTTTTTCCCACTAAATTGCTACTTTTGTCTGAGCCTTTTCTTTGACGGGGGCTTCAATACTTTGTGAAACAACATAATGACTTCCATCTCTTGGAATCTGTAAATATAATTGCAATTGCATTTGACTTAGATATGAAATAAGTCCTTGCCCACATACTTTGACTAAAAAGGAGAAAGAAGTGGTGGTCACAAGTAGCAAGGCTAAAGAATCAATGAAAATGAGACAACAGATAAGAATATGTGTGTGTGTGTGTGTGTGTGTGTGTGTGTGTGCCTATGCATATGTATATGTACCTGCTTAGCTTCTCTTTTCTGCTTGTTTATACCTCATGAAAATTACAGGTCCACAATTCCTCATCTACAAAGCTCTGAAAACCAACTGAACTTTCCTTTGGTTGTTTAGGGTCTTTATATTACTTAATATGAACACTCATTTTTGTTGCAGAAGTCTTTGTTTCATGACAAGGTGCTGGCACAGATCCCACTTATGACACCAATAAATAGTACACAGTACGTAAGCTGTATCACCATTCTAAAAATCAAAACTTCTGATATCTGAGATATTTCTGGTTTCAGACCTAAAGAAGTCTCTATCTTCTGAAGAAGACCTAAAGTGAACTTTATTGCACAGCAAACTTTATTGTATTACTCTACAATAGATGTAATTGAACACTCTCTGGAGTTAGACCACCTGAGTTCAAATCCTGGATCTGCTATTTGCCAGCTCTAACACTTGGATTGTTTGCAAAACCCCCTGCCTCAGTTTATTTTTCAGCAAAATACAGAGAGTAAAAGAAACGACCTCATAGGGTTCTTATGAGAACCAAATGAGATCATGCACGTAAAATGATTAGCACAATAACTAGTAGTTAGTAAACACTCAACAAACATTAACTATTATTGTATTATTATTATTAAAATGTCAGGTATTTGTGTTTTTGTTTTTGCTTTTAGAGACACAGTCTCACTTTGTTGCTCCAACTGAAGTGCACTGAAAAATCACAGTTCACTGTCACTTCAAACTCCTGGGCTCAAACAATCCTCCTGCCACAGCTAGGGGTACAGGTGTGTGCCACCATGCCTGGCTATTCTTTAAAATTATTTTTATAGAAATCAGGTCTTGCTTTGTTGCTCAGACTGGACTCAAACTCCTGGCCTCAAGCTGTCCTCCCACTTTAGCCTCCCAAAGTGCTAGGATTACCAGAATGAGCCAGTGCACCTAGGACAAATTTTAGTTTTTTAATAAATTCAATGAAACAAATAATATCTCAATGAGAGTTCAGCCAGGTAAAAAGAAACTACTCAAAGTATCACCATCAGGAAGAGATTCAGTATAGGGAATCAGGTGCATACAAAGTCTTTGGAAGGAGTGAATGGGTAAAAGTTGAGAAGGTAGCACCACTAATTTCGAGTTATTCCACATCACCTGTGAACCCAGTGTCAGGAAGGTGCTGTACCCAGAGATCAGAAATTGCAATAAATGACAGGTAATCACTGTCTATGTCACAGCTGCTCTCCTTACAGCTCAAAAGCTGGAGACTGCCAGGGATGGTCTTTGAGATCTAGCTTCACTGCAAAAGTTTAAATTTGTCAGCTGGGTGCGGTGGCTTATGCCTGTAATCCCAGCACTTCGGGAGGCCGAGGCGGGTGGATTACCTGAGCTCTTGAGTTCGAGACCAGCCTGAGCAATACAGTGAAACCCAATTTCTACTAAAATACAAAAAATTAGCCAGGTGTGGCAGTGTGCGCCTGTAGTCCCAGCTACTTGGGAGGCTGCGGCAGGAGAATCGCTTGAAACTGGGAGGCGAAGGTTGCAGTGAGCCAAGATTGCACCACTGCACTCCAGCACAGGCAGCAGAGGGAGATTCCATCTTAAAAAAAAAAAAAAAAAAGGTTTATATTTGTCAAACCCCTTGTGTCAGATGCCACTGTTGCTGAAGAATGAAATGCTCCTGTGTCTTCCAAGTCCTTGAGTGCTCCTCACTGGCTCAACCCAAACCTTATCAGAACCGTGCTGGCTAGAGACTCTGGGAAATGCAGCACCAGGGCTCCCAGACTTTGTGAAACACATAACACCCTAAACAAATAGTCATTTACTAATAATAGGAATTTACACCTGTACAGCACTTTCCATAAAAGCTCTGTGAGGTAGGCAGGACCTGTAGCTCAAAGTTGCAAGGCTGGCAAGAGACTTAGAACCTCATATCTCAAATCTAGGGTGTACCTTTTTTATGTCAGTGTGTCCTATTTAATCATCCAAGTTCCACTTCCCCCCAAATCTTCATAACCATTTATTGATATTATTGTTTATTATTTTTC